GAAAATGCCTTATCTCTAGAAAATTTGCACCAGTAACTTTTTGACAAGAAAGTGAACATGGACAATCAATTTATTTAAGGCTACTTATGAAGTTTTCATACTCCAGTCCAGACAATTGGAAACGCCATATGAATAATGCTATTTTATGAAAAACTAAACCATATTTTGTGGTCATGAGAGGAAGATACAAATGACACAATTTCCAAAAAACCTTAATCTTCTGCATTTATGGAGCTATTTATTTGAATCAAATCACATTGAAATAAATCTTTCCATTTAATTCAAGACAAAGGGAGCAGTGATGAAGCCGCGGAGACCTCCCCGTTCTATTCTCAGACTCCTAAATCACAGAATCCATCTAATACCAATCACGATTGGTTCACAGACATTTAGCTGTAAATGTCAATTTGCTCCAAAAATTTTTCCTTGGTTTTATGTCTCCTGGCTTTATTCAGTTGATAAAAACTGAGTTAGCATGATGTCATCATTGGAGGAATCTCCAGTATGAGAAAATGCATAACTGCCTGAGGGGGGAAAAGAGGATAAGCATTATTGCTACTATGTTGGCAGCAAGCATGAGGCCAAAATGAAAGTGAGCCTGTGGAATTTCTTACAACTGGGAACAGATGTTAGGAAAAGATATAGGACGTGGTTGGTTGAGCAACATGGCATTTCCCTAACGCCATAGAAGCTTGCACTTGTCAGGCAAATACCACGTTTCTCAGATTTTGCTTGGAAATGAGATAAAGTGCATTTGAAATCACAGCATGTTATCACTGGAAGGAACCTTAGTGATCTCTTAGTTTTTCATTTTACTGATGACAAACAATCACTTAAACAGGTAAAGAGATGGAAAAAGCGCTCAGGCTGGTTTGTGACAGTGATAACAGGACTCAAGAGTCCTGGATCAGCACATTCTCCAGACAATTGAACTTTATCTGGAATTTAAGTAATTTTGATTGGAATCAAGTGAGTTGCCCATTTCCCTACCTTAATGGCGATATTAACATAATTTAATGTGAAATGGGACCTGGGCTCTTAAGTATGACTTAAACTCAAATCGCAATTTCTCCTCTTCTAGTCCCGTGCTCCACCCTTCTCCTCCAAGAATACTGCAACTACTTGCAATGTTTAAATATTGGTCTTCCAGTAGCTGAATATCATAGACTAGCAAACTGCCAGTATATGAACACAGGACCGATGAATGTCGTAGGTGGAGGGGACAGTGCTCTCACTCTTTACAGGTGAGGCTCTTCCTTCCCTGGGGACATTTTAGGGAGGAGGATATACCCAGCATCAGGACACAAGCATCTGCCCCCATGCCACTGTCCAGCTGCTTGCACAAACTGGATGATGCTCTAATAAGGACACCACTGGTATTAGTCTAACCACACTCCTTCACTCCATGGCTTCAATGGTCATGCCACAGATTTATATAATGTCTAACTGAGGAAATGGGAATAATTTATGACAAAATTAGGTAATCACACTCGCCTATCTCCATAAGCACCAAATCCCTAACATTGTTCTATCAGCCCTGAGCACAATCCAGATAAACTCTGGACACACGACTGGCTGATACTCTCACACTCCTCATGTTAATTTTCTTCATATGATGTATTCATCCCACCTCTCTTCCCACCTTTTACAATCTTTGGTTTTATTGTAACTCACCTTTGTTTTTCAGTGGGTTGAAAGGCTTTGAGAATTTGGGTTGGTCACATAAATCTGATGAATTTTGCTGCACACAAGAGAAACAGGTTATTTGGACATTAATAGTATTCTTTTAGTGGTGGTCTGCATATCCTGACTTTCTGATGTCATTAACAATTTTTTCTTCCATCTACACAGTGTGTTATTCTGTTTTCAATAATTTAGAGTAGTCACTTTCTTACTCTTTCATCTGCTTTAATCTATTTAAAATGCCAAAGAACTCATTACCAAATTTTAACTTAATTAATGCCAAAATTTCCAAGTTTTAATTTAACTGAATGCCAAAGAACTTAATTCCAAGAATTTTGTGTTCCTGTATATTTTTACAATTTCTAACAACAAACTAGAAACTGTTTTAAGGGAGATATTGTCCCCTTTCATGTCCATGCTTTCATTTCTTTGGGTCACACATTTGTCACTCAAAGGGGAACCCATGGAGGAAAAACAATACTCCTGGTAAAAATGGTTTCCAGTAAAGCTTTGCCTTACTCTTGCTCATCTTAGCATTCAAATCTCTTTGTGAATACCCTCCAGTCATTGGTACAGAGGCTATAGAGACTCCAGAAATTTAAAACCTGATTTATCAAAATGACATAAAATATTTTAAGCAAACAGCATGCACTTATTGGGAAAGATAAAAGTGTTTAGATACATTATATCCTTTTCCACTCATTAATTCATCATTTATTTATGCATTAATTTAACATCTCATATTTGAGTGCCTTGTGTGCCAGACACTGTCTTAGGCAGTGGGAATGCTGGAAGGAATAAGTTCCATTCCTTGCTATAGTCCATGTCATGAGGAAGCCAAATCAAAATGGGATAAACAGGTTCTAATTATAGTCAGTAGATAGACGAGTGATAGTTTCCCAGTTTTCACTGAGATATATGAATGGCTATGCACATTGAGATCTGGGGAGGGGGAGGGGAGTTATAGAGATAAGAATAAGAAAAGTCTGAAATTTCCAAAGCAAAAGAATTGATTTTCCAGAATTTGGGTCTCAGCAAGCATATAATGTTATAAACCTAAAGAAAACCCTAAGGTCAGGATCATTGCATTTGAAACAGCATCGTGCTCCATTTGGAGAGAGGCATCTTAGGCTGCAACACACTTAGGAACCCTGCATGGTCTAGGCAGAAGCAGCCTCTTCAAGCATGTAAAGTTATATGGGTCTAAGCTGTGGGTTGAATAACAGGACCTGAGTCATTGGAACTAAGACATAGCTCTATATATTCCTTCTTTACTTTTCTAAAGAAGGAAAAATGGTCTACAGAAGATCCAGAAAGTCAGGTGGAGAAAAGGGCATTACTGATTCTAGGTATTGAGAGGCAAGTCAGACTAAAACCAATGATATTGTTCACTCACTCACTCAACAGCTCTTTACTGAGTATCGACCCTTTGCCAGGCACCATTCCGGGTACCAGGAATATAATGGTGAAAGAAACTCAACAAGTTTACACAGAAGTGGACTTGCTGCAAGAATGCATAAAAGAAAAATGCAAAAGCTCAACCTTCACACATTACATTCATGGCAGTAGGAGATAATTACCTTTGAAGTTTGTGTCCAAGAGCTTAATGAAGACAACCTGTTGAATAGAAGTTGTCGCAGCTATAAGGGCAACAAAGAGATAGTGAGGAAATACATATACACCATCATACATAGACACATCAAGAACAAAACTGCAGGTTGAAATTGTTATTTAATAGTATAATTTCCTAGAAGAGCTTAATAGACCATGGGCATGTGTATCTGATAGAAAGATTATTTCCTTTGACTGTTTACCTATAAGCAAACTAGGATTTAAAAAAGAACAACAGTGTCAAAAGCCGAAATAATTCAGATTCTGGCCATTGGTAGTTGGCAATAACTGCTAAATTAAAGTCTGTCTTTGAAGTGATGGGTTTCCTAACCAGGTGAATGGTATGAACAAGGCAATTATTTAGAATAATCAAGTATAGCAAATTGCTTCTTTATAAATACAGTGCTGTGCATGCGCAACAATTGTGCTAATTATGAAATATTCTAATCTTCTTAAAACAAAGACTTTACATCTATTAGATTACTGTCTTCACTTCTCTTAGCAGAACTGCTCCATGCTTGGGGAAAAAAATGAAATAAGCTTATTTTAAATTTTTTTCTACTATCTATTACTTATACCAGTTGCTCTTTGTTAGGAATTTTACTTAATGTGTGGGACTATTAACATTTACTATATAAACCTCTAGAAATACAAAAGTAGATATATCTTTCAGCATAGTCTAAGTAAACAGATAAACTAGTTAAAGGAATAAAAGGGAATTCACCCATTAGGAAAGTAATTTTTGCTCTTAAATTACTGCCAAACCATCATTAATTAATTTTTTATTTCTTTACTTTTTACTTTCTTATTTTTTGGCATCTGGCTGGTACAGGGATCCAAACCTGTGACCTTGGTGTTATAAGGCTGCACTCTAAGCCATACTATAATTTAAATTAGAAAAATTAAAAATAAGAAGAATTTCCTTTTTTAAAAAAAATAATGTTCACATTACATGTTGTGGTTAGTTCTATATAGCTTTATTAGCTGTGATCTATAATTTAAATTAGAAAAATTAAAAATAAGAAGAATTTCCTTTTTAAAAAAAAATAATGTTCACATTACATGTTGTGGTTAGTTCTATATAGCTTTATTAGCTGTGATCATTTAGTTCCTTTGTCTCCTGACTGACCATGCCCTTTATAAAATTACAGAATTTTATAACAAAAGTACATATAGTCCAAGCTCTTACTATATGAATAAAGGCTTCAGAACTAAAGGGCAGGGGTTTAAAGATGCCTGGGTGAGGGGATAAATAGAGAAATGAATACACATACCTTACTATCCAAAACCACTCCGAAACATAAGATGAAAAACCCCTTTAAAAAAAAAGAATAAATCACGTGTATTGTATTTTTCTTTTCCAGGAATAAAAGCATTTATATGTAATACTGTTCGATTCTATTGCTCAACATTGAAATTGCTTTCTTGTCTGTCTCCCTATGAGACTGTGGGCTCCTTAAAGGCAGGAACACTGTCAGACCTCTGCAGTACCTGGCACAACAAAAGGTACTCAAACATCTTTTTTCATTGAATATATGAATAAACAAATAATTGAGTTAATGAAGTTTTAAATAGATGTGGAGCTTCACTCTCCCCTGCTGAGTCATTCCAAACCCAAAATGAAATGCTGCCATTTGCTTCGGTATCTTAGTCTTTCTTTTGACCAGGCATTTAATACACGTCAACTAGGCATCTCAGATGACAGCAGTCACTGAGGTGCAACCCGGTGGCCAAGTGGAGGAAGTTGACCCATGTTAGCAACCTTTCCTTCGAGTATAGGCTTGGAGAACCTTGGCAAAGGCTTTCTTGGACCTTGAACTTCCCCTCCCAGTAGGAGCACCTTTGGCTGGTGCCTGTTCAGACAGCATATCACTGCAAGCCTACCTCCACTCGTATCACCAGTGGGCACATGCTCTCCACAACTGCCATCTGTACCACCCCTGAACATTCACAGTATGCTGAGTAGGTGGAGAACCAGCTGCTTTTAGAAGATACCTACTAACCATTTACTGTGTGCCAGTAAAGTGCTAAATTATCTCATTTAATCCTCACATTTACTCTATAAGTATTATTATTATCTCTATTTAACAGATGAAAGAATTGAGGGACAGAGAGATTAAGTAATTTGTTAGAGGTCACACTATTAGTAAAGTGACATATTTGAGCACAGACCTATTTAACTCCAGGACTCAACCATTTAACCACTACTTCCTTGAGTCTTTGTCCAAAATGGTCTAGTAAAACCTTTGTTGAACCGGGATTGAAGACTCTCTTCCAGATTCATCAAAACCTAAGTATTCCTTTGCCCACCTACTATCTGACCATGACATGTAAAACCCATCCTTTGTAGCAAGGGTCAGCAAAACTTTCTGTAAAGAGCCGGATAGTAAGTATCTTCAGCTTTGGAGAACATACAGTCTGTGTTGCAACTACGCAACTCTGCCAATGTAGCAAAAGCAGCCATAGATAATATGTAAATGAATGGGCTTGGCTGTGTTCCAATAAAACTTTATTGACAAAATCAGCCTGCTGGCTACAGTTTGCAGACCCCTGCTATACTATTGCACTCTAGTGACTTCCTTTGCACCATTTAGAGCTAACACGTACTTCTGATTATTTCCCTTTCTCTGTGTGCTTTTTCAAAGGTCTACACAAGAGAAAGAGAACTGAGTCACCAGTGAGAGGGATCAATGTTAGCTACGCAAACTCTAACAGATTTAAGGCCCTGCAATGGATTACTGAAGAAGTCCAATTTCATCCTGCTTCAGTATGACGGTAACTGTTGGGAAACATAGATGTGTGTTGGTTTTGTTTTTTTTTTCTGTTTACTGTTTCCATGCAGTTTTGATTATAGTCTTGCTGGAGGCAGGGAGATGAGATAATCTCCAGAGGGGTCTTATCAATCTGAGCTCTCTATATTTATTCCAATTACCTTACAGTATAATAGGTTATTCTTATTGTGCTCACCTGGAATGCATTGAGTAAAGCAAAAATAACATGCCAAGCCAGATTCTGGCTGTCCACCATTGTTCCTATACCAAAGCTCCAGGTGATCCCTAACAGAGGGGACAGAATGAGGAGGCTCTTCCCCATGCGGAGGACAGTGGCCTTGTCATCCCGACTTAGTCTTTCTCCAACAGCTGGCCTCCAGAGCTTCTTGAGAACTAACAGCACAATGACCAAATTCACAACCACAATAGTCAGTGCAGGGACAACAAAAGCCAAGAGAGGTTTGCTCTCACCAGACCAGTTAAGCCAGCACACATCTTTCTGTTTGTAGCTACTGTTAGGTTGTGTGACCACAATGGTGATGACAGATATAATGAGAGGACACCCATAGCCCAGGCAGAACCCAACAACCATCATCAAAGGCCAGGCCATGTGATGGAACACGAAGATGATCCGATATGCCAGCAGGGTGCCAAGCACGAGCATCCAGAAGAACAGAGAGAGGTAGAAAAGGTGTGTAAAGAACACTGCAGCTATGCAGATTCCAGAAGGGTTTACTGTGGTGTCCACAGTGGCAGCAATAATAAACCAAACATCAGCAATCAAGAGGGACAGGGCTATGTTAACCATGCAAATGTGACGTGTATGCGAGGTTTGGCTTTTTTTGATCTGCTTCCAAAACAGAGCCTCCATGATCAGGCATAAAATGAGACTTCCGATGGAGATACCCAGTCCCACATAGGTGATCCATTTCACAGCAGGGATGATCACAGGAGGGACAAAAGGTGACATCAGCATGGAGAAGGACGTCAGATGAGTACATCGGCACATCACCGTGTCTAGAGTTTCATTCACTAGATAGCAGCCTGCATTGCTCCACTGCAAATGACTGAAATCCCAAAACACACAATGAGGCTGGCTCAGATTTGAATCTATCTTGGAAAAGATCAAGAAAATCTCATTTATGGAATGGTTTGGCATCACCATGGATATCACAGGCCCGTTGATCTGAGCGTTTCCATTTTGGGTATTGGGTAGAATGTCCCCCAAGGTCAAGGAGGCCATGCTGATAATAGTTTCTGGAAGGGATCTCTGGAATTGGTCTGACCCAATTAACACATGGCCTCTGATGGGAATGGAGGTATTTTTTTGGAACATTTCAATCTGATAGTTGTAATCCTTTGGGGGTTGGCTCTTGGTAACTGGAATTCCTTTCCAGTTAATGAATTTCCGAGAAAAATTCAGAGGTAGAGCTGTTGGAGGTACCAGAATGCTGATGTTTTCCAATGTCTTTAGTAACTGTGAACTGGCATGCTTTTCTTCCCGCAGTAAGACTGTCCAGTGAGTTACTGATGTTGAATTAAGGATATGGTCAGCTATATTGATGACATCCTGAAATACAAGGGTGAAAGTCAGTTTGTGTTTCCAGTAAACAAATAAGAGGACTAAAAGTGAATAGTTGTTAGTATTAAGTATAGGAAAAATGCCCAGAGAATTGGCTCACTTGCAGACCACATTAAAACTCATCAATTAAATTTAGCTCAGTTGCTTTACACAGTAGAAGCTGTGGGGTAAGAAACTTGGATAGGCAGAATCATCTAAGTTCCAGGGTGATCACCCCAAGGCATTTGTAAGCACAGTGGGGTTTTGGCATGGACGAAAAAGCATCCTACAATTTGGGCTGCACGAGTGTGCATTTCCTTCTTCCTGAGAAGGCAAAAATGACTGCAGTCTTACTCAGGCTGAGGCTCAAGGAGGGAGACATTACTATGAACCACTTTCTTATATCCTATTTGCCCCAAGGCATTTGTAAGCACAGTGGGGTTTTGGCATGGATGAAAAAGCATCCTACAATTTGGGCTGCACGAGTGTGCATTTCCTTCTTCCTGAGAAGGCAAAAATGACTGCAGTCCTACTCAGGCTGAGGCTCAAGGAGGGAGACATTACTATGAACCACTTTCTTATATCCTATTTGTTTTGCTAACATCAGAAGTTCTGAATTTATGTCACGAATGTTCATGCTTATTTTTGTTTTTTGTTTGCTGCAGGAGAAAATAAAACAAAAATCCTTAAAAACTGGATCTGAGCCACAAAGTATTGAATTGTTGTGGGATTTAAGGGTCAGTCTTAGTTTGAGAGATTTTTTTTCAAAGCAACTCATTGAAAGTCACGACTTTCTCCCACAGCTCTCTCTCTCTTGCTTATGGCTCTGGTTCCCAGGCATTCCACTTCAGGTGTCTGTCACTCTGGCCAAAACTTCCCCTTCCCCAGCCCTCTGTGGTCTAGCCCAGAATCCCAGAGGGCTTCACCTATGTCCCCAGGAACCTCTGCTTTCTTTTGCTTTGTGTTTGGCTGCTCTGTTTTCACCCTTCATTTTATTTTTAGCCTTTTTGTGTCATTTTGTTTTAGTTTGTCTCTTGTAAACAACATGTGGTCAGGTTTTTAAAAAAACAAATCTGAGCATCTTTTCTTTCATTCAGGGAGTTTAACTTATTTATATTTAATGTCATCTTTGACATGATGTTCACCATATGTAGTTAAGTATAATTATTTCAATTTTGTAAAATATCATGTGCTTTAACATATAAAATGTATACATCCAAAATGTTTGGAAGGATATTTATTGAACAAATATTTACTGAGTACCTGCTGTGTGTCACTTGTCATCCTTCCAGGCACTGAGGTAATACCCAAAATGGAAGCAGTAGCTATTCTAGGGTGATCAAAGACCATTTCTTTTTCTTTTTGCTTATTTGCATTTCCTATAGTAACCAACTGTTATTTGTGTAATTTTTAAGTTAATTTTTAAATATCCAAACTCAACCATGAATTCCTCAGTCAAGAGAATAAAGTTCCTAAAATATACACTGCTAAAGTCAGAGCTTATGGCTACAGGAAAGCATTACAGACTACAAACATACATTGAAAAGTCGGTGCCCATGTCATGTAACACAAAAGCTCCTCCCTTCCTCTGAGTCAGGTGCTATGCGGGCAGCCTGCTTAGGGGCAGCTCCGTCTTACTTTGAACTCATGCTATTGATCCCATGAGTTCCTTGTATACTGCAGAGAAAGCACTAAAGCTCACATGAAGACTGTCACATGGCATGGCTCTTCTGTCTTTTTCCATAGTTCCCCATCATTCAGGCTTTTGTCATTTCTCTTACAAGATCCATCATTTAAAACGAGTCCTTCAAGCACAGGTGGACTATACCTCCATTGTCGAGTTGGACACCATGGCTCTTCTGTCTTTTTCCATAGTTCCCCATCATTCAGGCTTTTGTCATTTCTCTTACAAGATCAATCATTTAAAACGAGTCCTTCAAGCACAGGTGGACTATACCTCCATTGTCGAGTTGGACACCCTGAAATCGCTTGCCAATGACAGGGAAGAAACATTGTTCAGAATGGATACCACCGAAGCCAGATTCCCAGCTGTGGTTGATGGGCTTTGCTGAACGATGACTGAAAGATTGTGCACCACAGATGACACGGCTGCCTCAGTGGCACTGCCTATGATCACACTGAAATTCTAGAAATAAAAATAGTTAAGTTCTAGAACACAGTAAAAGGCTGTATTTCATCAAATTTAAATCAGATGCGTTGGCCACATAGAACTAACATTTGTATGGTGCATTATAGCTTAGGTTAGTTAAATCACAGTTATGACAACAATGACTGTTATTCAAGGCTTTCTATATTCCAGACACTGTGATAAATGCTTTATTAGGGATTCATTGATTAAATCCTTTTAACACCCTTTGAGGATGAATTGTTTTTATTTTTATTTTATAACTAAGGAAACTGAAACTTGAAAAGATTTGTTAAAAAGCATTTCCATACAGACTATTATCCTAATTACACAGAAACTGATGTTCAGTGAGATTTGGTGACTTTCCAAAGAGTACTCAACTAGGAGGTAGAGTACAGTCTACTGGTACTAATCAGGTGTTATACCCACTATACTACGCTGAGAATTCCCTGTAGGATGAGGAGACAGAGGGACACTCATGAAGATGTGACTACTGACTGGGCTTGTGCAGTCCCCACTTCATCTCTGGGTTTGGAGTCTTACTTCTTCCTTGAGGCTCCCATCTGTTTCCACTACACTGAGCTAACTTGGAAAGCACCAAAGGAGTGTGCTCCCTCCCAGTTGACACAAATCAACCCAGGAGCCCAGATCTTACCTGTTCCCCTTATTATTATTCTCAGCTGACAGTTCTATTCTCTGCCCAGTGCACCTGGGATCTGTCTGCCCTCACCCCCTGGGGTGAACTAGTCCCAGCTATTGCCCATGTCCAGAACTGAAGCAAAGAAGTCAAGAGCAAGAATGGATCCCAGAGGCCACCTGGTCCAATCCCCCTCTTTAGTTTATGGATGAGGAAACTGAGGCCCCAAAAGAAAGAGGTAAACATTCTACAGTCCCTTGATAAATACCATTCTAGGGTTCTCTAGTAAAATAGTGGGGTCTCTGGTTGGAAAAGAAGCTCTACTCAATATAGAAACCTAACTGAAGAACGGTGTCTGTGAACTGTCTTGGGGTCCTTCTTTCCTGTGACTTGAGTTCTTCTAGTTCCTGATCATTTACTCACTTTTTTCTATCTACCTTGACTTAATACGTGAACCTTCCTAAAAGAGCATCATGCGAAGGTCACAGCACTGGACTGAGAATCAAGTGACCATATTTCTAGTTAAACACTGTTGCTACCAGAGGGACTGTAGGACCCTTGGTCTTTTGTTTCCTGATTTATAAAAAGAGGTTGGTAAACCAGATGACCTTTCAGTTTCATACAGTTCTGTCAGAGTTCACCTCTGCCTGACCCATTCTCAGCCCTGGTTTCTGATGTGTGTACATACTCACTTGAACTAAGCCTACTGGATTCACTCACACCTTCACTTTGATCTCTGATTCCCAGGCTTTCTGGATTTCTGAGGACTGCTTAGTTGCTATCATAGACCTCCTCGGCATTGATTCCCTCCTCTGCAGCACTCCTCCCTAACAATAACCACCAACTCTGATATTTTCTGATCTTTTCAGCTGCCATCTAACTCTTCCACTCATGGCCATGCTCCCTGGGCTTACCTGGTCTGATGCCACCCTTGCCTTTTGCACACTGACCAATGATACAAATAGATATGTTTTACCATCCACCTAGCTATGCTCCTTGGGAGATGCCCACTATGAAACTCAAAATCAGGGCAAGACTACAGATTTAAAATGCTTCACCTTCTTCAATTCTTCCAGCTGAAGGAGCACACAGGTCTCCTTGATGACCTGCCACCCCGAGGACTGGCACCTAGCCATGATGCTTCCGGTATAGCCGCTGCTACAGGGCAAAGTGTACTCATCATTCTTAGACCCAAATCCAAAGACAATGCTGTTACACTGTGCTGGAAAAGAATGGAAATGAAGAGAAAAGATGACTCCAGAATATCCTGGCACTCTAAACAAACCATGTAGTAGTGTTTCAATGCTTTAGAAGTCATATTATCAGAGACACAACTCAGGCAAAATTCAGAAGAGGTTTGTCTTTGATGCCCAACTTCATCCCTATAAGCACCCTTCACTTTTTTCTGATGCCATGCCCTCCCTGAGGCTGGCTGATCTGTGTCAACAATAATGCATTTAATGGGATATCAACTAATAAGTATTAGGTGAAAATAAGGCAAGATGTGATCACTCCCAGGAAATATTTTCACCCTTTAAGGAAACACTAGAAAACCAAAAAATCTTCATGATACTATGAAACAATCATTAATGATATGATTAAAAGATCGGCAGTTGACATTTGGGGGGTGACACTTTCTACCTTGTATTTCTTTAAAAGCTTCTCACATTTCAACAATAATGCATTTAATGGGATATCAACTAATAAGTATTAGGTGAAAATAAGGCAAGATGTGATAACTCCCAGGAAATATTTTCACCCTTTAAGGAAACACTAGTAAACCAAAAAATCTTCATGATACTATGAAACAATCATTAAAGATATGGTTAAAAGATTGGCAGTTGACATTTGGGGGGTGACACTTTCTACCTTGTATTTCTTTAAAAGCTTCTCACATTGCAGCCACTCACTAGTTACTCTTGCAGCTGGCCCTTAGTAATACACGAGGGTACTTCAAAAAGTTCATGGAAAGATTCACATTATCTTTTAATTCTGTTTTTCCACAAACTTTTTGAAGTACCCTCATATTCTTTTCACAACTGAAACCGGGACATGGAAACACTGAATGCATGTTTCACAAGGGCTAAGATTTTTGTTTTTCCCATTTCTGTGTCCTAAGTGCCTAGACACTTTAGACACTTAGTAAATATTTGTTGAATAAATGCTGTTGAAAGAAAGTAGCACAAATTTTGGCCAGAGAGGTTTAAGATTGAATATAAAGAAGTAAAAGGAAAAGAAAAATATTATCTGAAGAAAAAAAGTGCTGTGTATGTGAGTGTTAGAGACATTCCCTCCTTGGCTCCTTGGGTTGTGGTTTAGCAATATTGTCAGCCCCAGGGACTACTGCTGAATCATTCCCATCACAGCCTGCAGTGAAATCAGCCTTCCACGATGTTTGCACTAAGAGGTAGAGATCAGATCACTGGCTGGTGCGGATGTGAAATAGTCTGCTAAAGCTGAGTTTCATCATGGTGAGGGAAGCAGCTGCCTGTTTCTACTCAAAGTTAGTTTTAGAGCAATTGTCTGTTGGAAACATCTCCAATCTACTTACGGAGGACACAAACGAGCTACTAATTAAAGGACTCTCTTAACCTAAACAAAGGATGGGAATCCAGTATTACCTTTTCCGAACACTCGGAAAGAGCCGTCTTCTAGTGGGAACTGCCTGCAAAGGGCTGCCTCAGCCTTCCCGGCTACCTGTTCAATGGCAGACAGCAGCTCAGTTGTGCTGCTGGAACCAACAACTTCATACCCAGCAATGATACTTCCATCCCTGCAACAATTACGGGGAAAGAAAAATGAGGCTCAATATCCACTTATTTAATCACCCAGGGCCTATTCTGTGTGTGTGTGGCCTTAAGTCTGTAGGAATGAACTGAACAGATTGGGTCTCTATCTCCATGGACCTTGTATTTGGGTGGAGAAAGCAAGGCAAGTAAGAAACAGGCAATCACCAAATATATAAACACACAAACACACATACATATATACACATATACACACATATACATACATATGTAATTACAATTTTTGCTAAGTGTTGAGAGACAGGTTCTGCAATATAAATAGCAGGTAGAGGTGGGACTCCACATTAAATAAGGCTGGTCAGGGAGGGTTTCTCTGTGCAAAGGGTCTTTGAAGCTGAGGCTTGAAGGAGAAGAAGAAAAGGCCATCAATGCAAAGAACACTAGTGTAGCACACCAGCCTGTGTAAAAATTCAACAAGCAAGGGAGAAATAGGTAGAATGTGATATTGGAGAGGTAGCCAGGAGCAGTTCACATAAGACCTTAGAGTTTAAAGTCTAGTATTTATTAAAAAGTTTTATTATTTATTCAAAGGTAGTAGTATTATCAGATTTATGTTTTAAGATAATCACTCTGACTGCTGTGTAGAAAATGGACTGCAGAGAGGCAAGTAGAGAAGCAGGAAGACTAGTTAGGAAAGAGGTGTGGTGGCTTGAACTAGTTGGATAGCAGTACTTGTGGAATGAGTGGTCAGATTCAGGTTATATTTGAAGACAGAGCCATAGGACTTGCTAACGGAGATTTCAGGTGTGAGGGAAGGAAACCAGTCAAGAATAACTCCAAGGACTAGGAAAACAAATTGTGGTATATTCATACAATGGAATACTTCTGGGCAATAAAAAGAAATCACTGACAATCAGAAAACAGGGATGAATCTCCAAGATGTTATGCTGAGTGAAAGAAGCCAAACACACAAAAAAACTACACACTGGACAATTTCATTTATATGAAGTTCTAGAACAGGCAAAACTAATTTATGGTAATAGAAATCAGACCAATGGTCGCTTCTGGTGAGGGGGTTGGGGGTGTCCATGGGGACTGGCTAGAAAGAAACACAAGGGAACTTTTGGGGTGATGGAAATGCTCTGTCTTGATAGGAGGGAGCTTGTACAAGCATTTGTTAAAGCTCATTGAACAGTACACTTAAGGTTTGAGTACATAATTGTATGCACTTGCTGTAACTCAACAAAATAAATCAAAACAAAAGATGGCTCCAGGGTTTGGGTCTGTGCAGCCAGAAGAACAGCATCGCTGCAACTGAGATGGGGAAGACCATGGGAGAAGTAAATTATAGGTTGGGGGTGGGGGGAAGTCAGAGGACCCCCGTTCTGGACATGCTATGTTTGACATGCCTACTGGAAAACCAAGTGAAGATGTCAAGTAGACAGTGAGATATTTGGGACTGGAGTTCAGGGGAGAGGTCAAGCTCAAGTAATAAATTTAGAAACCGTCAACATGATGGTACTGTTTGAAGATGTGAAAGAAAATGATATCACAAGTATTCACTAAGTTAATCCTGCAATAACTCCATCAGGTAAGCACTGTGTTATCCCTATTGTATAAATAACTGAGGCTCAAAGAAACGTTGGGTCAGGTCATTATAAATTATTGATTGACAGATTAGAACCTCTGAAGCTCAAAACTCAATTTCTCAATCATCACATTGAACTTCTGCTCACAGTGCACAAATAAATCCAAATACCCTTTTGTGTGGTGATGGTCACGATGCCTTTGCATTGATATGGCCCTTCTATATTGTTTACAAAGTATTTTCCTGCCTGTTATTTCATTTGATTCAAAGAGGTTAGATTGGGTACTAACTGTCCTGTTTGACAGATAAGTAAGTTGAGACTGTGAGGGACTGATGTGTTTTAAATGACATATGTAAATAGTAAAGCTTAAAACATTGTGTTTTATAGGCTGATGCATACTTTTACTGTGACTGTGTTTACAAATTATTGGAGATAGTTTACAGGATGTACATGATGGAATGTAAGTCAGAAATATAAATAGAAAACCAAGACCAAGGAAAAAATATGAATATTGAATGCAAAAATTATTGTGAATGAGTTTCAGTTTTGTCTATGAGTTTACTGAGAGCAAAATCCAAAAAGGAAATGTAATTAATTATATAGATCTCAATATAAGAAAAAAAGAAGCTGTGTTTTTCCTAGTGTTAAATTTTAAAGAAAATTATTCATGTAGACTTTATAGAAAGTCATGGATGATTTAAAGGACAATGCCCAGAACAATACTTGTACACTCTTATTTATAGCAAATGCTGTTGGAAATTTTCTGTTTGTTTTTACATTAACTGTGAAAAAATATATAAGGAGTCGGGTTCTGTGGCCTCCAAGCTAAATCCTCTATCAAGCAGACTATTAATGGTAGGTAGTCAATGTACACAGAGTTAACTAACCAAATAACTTTTGGAATTAAGGCATAAACAAAAGGAAAATTTACTAAATATCTTTTTATTTGCTATAGATAATGACTACTAAGTTTTGAACTATGTTGTATACATGATATCTATACCAAAATATATTTTACCTAAGGATTTTCTTCTGGCTTCTAATTATACAACATTATGTGCCTTGTGGTTGTAGAAGGAGAAAATTCACCCCTCCCATACACACACACCATGATCTACTTTTTTCCAAGGTCCTGCCCTACTACTATGATTTTGCAATTCTACTCTGATCCACAGCTTCGAGAATGTTCTTCAATATTTAAGTTCCTAAACTATTTAGATGAGAATCTAGGCTTTCCTCTTCAGACTTTTTACAGCTTCACAGAATCTTGTTCAGTTAGTCAGAATCCTACCAGAAAGACTAGTTCTGCCCTGTTTTCTATTGAGGTCACCTATGAACAGCACCTAGCATTCTGTAGGACTAGGACACAATTCTGAGGATGTCCTTCTAAGGCCATTGTGTTACTTACCTAAATTGGGTGACCTGAACTGACTCAAAACCTTGAATTCCTTTGTATGCTTCTTTAAGCTTAGAAAGAAAACAAAGGGCAAGGTGTTAATCTTTGTCACCACACTTTAGAAAGACATTTGAGCAAAAAATGGATGCAGATGATATATCATCCAACCGTAGCAAATGAATAAAGAGAAACAGTAGGAAGTAGTTGCATGTCATGCAAATACAGTTAAAACAACCGTTGAAAATGTGTACACACACACACACACACACACAAAATTTATTTTTGATGTTGCTAATAAAGAGTGAATAAACGAACTGCTTAGAATTTAGAATAGGGGGTGTATCTGGTGCCAGATAATATAATAAATCCACCCACAAAATTTATTTTTGATGTTGCTAATAAAGAGTGAATAAACCAACTGCTTAGAATTTAGAATAGGGGGTGTATCTGGTGCCAGATAATATAATAAATCCACCCAAAATCTATTTTCTCCTTGTCAAAAATAAGCTATAAATTTCCACAGGTGGTTACACTGAATCCATCTGCAGTGTTTGCTCATGTCCTAAGTTAAAACCACACTTAAGCCACCATCCTCCGCAGACATACACGATCTAGTTTTTACACAATTTCGTTATGAAGTCCAGAGTTCTTCTCAGTAATGATCTTCAGCCTCTAACAAGAGACCCTTCTTTATATAGCAAATCCCAAATGCTGACAAGTGAGCTTAGATCATGAAAATTTTCTTTTGATAAATAAAAAAACCGAAAATAATCAAGAAGCTTTAGTATAGTTGAGCAAAACTGAAATAATTGAGCAAAACTGAACATGAGAGAAGTGGAAAGGAGTCAACTCCTAAACTTTCCTATAAAGAAAATGCTCAAGGAATGTTAATTGTGGGCACAGCAAGTAACTTCTCTGCAATAGCTCATTGAAAATGAATAATTAAGAACATGTATTAAGTATAAATGATGAATTGAAAATACCTGAACTTGTGTTTAGCAAACAATTTCTTATGTAATAAGTGAAAAATGCTTACTTGATTTTCAATTTCAGTTGTATATCTGGAGTATATAGCAGAAGATGAATTCAAAAGATCTTTTGTGAATCTTTCATTAATTTTGAAAGTACCCCAAACCTCTATGGGAAATAAAAAGAAGTTATGGATACAATAAATTACTAACTTGATTTTATTAGTAGTGTAAAATTGGAGAAATACAATTCATAGTCCATCTATTCAACGGTGGCATTTCAATTTCTTTTCATAATAAATGTTTACCTAAGATAACACAGGAAACATACATAAAACCAGAGTTTTTGATTGTGGATTTGGAATGGTAATGGGAAATTGCTGGTGATCAAGACAACCTTACAAGTAGGTAAATGTGTTGTCACTCATGTGTGGCTAAAACAGGCAGTCCCCATCTAGGCACTGAGCTTAAGCATTGTCTCTATTAGCAATTATTTTTAAAAAATCACTACTTGCTAACTCCAACATGCCCCTTGCTTATCCATTGCTGGTGTGTCTCTGCACTGGGACAGGTCTTTCCTTGTATATGTATGGACAAATCCTGTTTATCCTTCATTTAAGACCTAATCAAATGTCACCTCTTCTGCAAGCCCTTCCCTGATTCCCAGATGCAAAGAGTCTTTCCCTCCTCTAAATTCCTACAGTACTTTATCCACACCTCCCCTACCGCCTCATGTACCTAAACATCTATTTATGTGCATCTCCTCTACACATGTCCCCACTATACCTTGGAAAGCCCCTTATGAGTGCAATCCCTGTCTGATCCATCTTTGTATCTCTTGAAGATGGATCAGACATGGACCATCTTTCAAAAGGTAAGCTTTCACTAATATTTGTTGAAGAAATTACATTGTTTTCTCTCTTGCATTACAGCCTGAACTCCCCAACTAGTCCACTAATTCATAGATAGCAAGAAAATGCTTCCTGGTGTCCGCCTAGAATTTGCCTTAGATATGGGTGTAAAGACGGTGCTTACTAAATGCCAGTTGCCATAACCTGAACTGCTGCGGTCCTGGGAAGGGGAGCCAGAGAAGCCCCGTTAAGCTGGGCTGTTTGGTGCTTCTCACTCACTCCTTGCTCAGCTCCATCAAAATCTGGTGCTTCAAGGTAACTAGAGTAGTCCTCAAGTTTCTTAAAGTCCTTGGAGTCCTGGAGTCCATGTCATTTAGTTCACCTCATCATTCACCAGACATAAACCTAAGTCAACAGTAGCTCCCTCAGCTTCCACTGGTTCCTAAGCTAGACTTCTAACTTTTGTTTTGTTTTGATAATGCATTCAGTACACATACACGAGTACTTCAAAAAGTCCATGGAAATTTGAATTGCAAGATAATAGAATCCTTCCATAAACTTTTTGGTGGCAATTTATAATAATTCTTTCAATACAATCACTATCTGTTCCTCCTGCATTCATGCCTCTGGACTTCCCTTTTCTCAGAATTGATGCTGGCAAAAGACATAAAAAGAGGGTAGAAATAAAAATGTTGCTTACCAAGTAATTCTCCTACTTGGGATTTTAGTGAATCTCCCTAAATCTCAATAGAATCACATATAGTAATTGCAGAGCTGAGCTGCAGGTACCTAGAGGTTGAAGTGACACCCAGTCCTCAACTTGTGTTTCTGGATCTTCTGCACTCAGAAAGTTCTCACTGTGTCCAGCCAAGCCTACCAGGGCATATTGTCACTGTCCTTCAATCTTCTTGCAAACATTAGCTCCCCTCAGTGAGGCAAACGGCTAGAATCTCCTCTCTGTTACCTGTTGGGGTAGTAGAGACCCCAGGCCAGAGCTCTGCTCAGAGAATCCGTGTGTGCTTACTTGTTCTCTCACAGAAATTGATGCTCTGGCTGAGGTTGTGGTGATGACAGTCACAGCTTGGGGGTGATCCAGCCATGTGAAGGTTGCAGTTCTGGGGATCAAGGCATGTGGGAGGAAACCAGGTATAGCCTTCTTCACAGGCACACCGCAAGATCCCATTCAAGGTGCCACAGGCTGCACAAAAAACAGAACTTGGTCTCATGGCCAAGTCAGTTTATAAACTGATTACTGCTGAGTTCTGATCCTTGGCTCTGACTTGGAATCTGAACCAAGTATTTCTCACCAAAAGCTAGAAGGATAAAAGCAAATGGCAGTATGTTTCAGGTAAGGAAATGTCCAACTCAATATATTCTTGAGCTTGGCACCAGAAACCTAGCAAACATAAAACTAAATTGGCTGAGGTCAGCATCTAAAAGAAGGATGTATGCCCCATAGATACCCACTGCAGTGGGAGCAAGGAGGATATTTGTAACCCGGGAGTTATTTAAAGGATTCTAAAGGACATATGACCACTATCTTATTTGAGGCTCCTCCACATTTACCAACCACCACTCCAAGACAAGCCCTATAAACAAGATGGCAAAGGCAGAGAGACTTTTTGGGGATAGTCGTGATGAAAAGTTCCATCAGCCAATGCTGTATGCTCATTCCCTTCTATTGAACCTGAAATTCCCACCAAAAGTCATACATTTTTAATAGGCAAAAAATGGGGCAGTCACACCTTTGTAAAAATATGCACGGTGGTGTGCCCCATGTTCTCAAACTTCATCGTGCATCAGGATCACCTGGAGGGTCTCACCCAAGTGTTTCCGATTCAGTGAGTCTGAGATGGGGATAAGAATGTGCAATCTAGTAATTCTTCAGTGTTGCTGCTGCTGGTGGTCTGGGCACCACACTGTGAGAGTCACTGCTTTAGACAAATTATTTAACTTCTTTGAACCCTATCTTTGTGGTTGTGAGTGCTGTTTGCCAAATACAAGAGTATTTCAAAAAGTACATGTAAAGATTTGCATTATCTTTTAATTCTATTTTTCCACATGCTTTTTGAAGCACCCTTGTATTTCTTGCTCTCTTCCAGGCACATAGCAGGATGGCATACCTGGTCCCCTGAGGTCGGGTGGGGCCATGGAACCAGTTCTGGCCAGTAAGTTGTGAGCAGAATTAGTATGTGTCACTTCTGAATTGCAGAATGTACTTGCCTATGTGAAACTCTCCATTTCTTTTTGCCTCAGAATGGGTACATTCGAGATAGGGTCTGATTCATCAACCTGGGTACTCGAGTGACAACCACACACACAGCCAGCCTCCAACGGACATGCAGCACGGAGAAGAAACAAAATCTTTCAAGCCACAGAGATTGGGGATGTCAAGGGATCATCATTTCCACAGCATAACCTAACCTACCCTGACTGCTATGCCCACCCTCCCCATGTACATTCCCAGTCGCCAGAGAGCTGACTTACATGTGGTGGCCTTTGTGCTAATAATCTTCATTGGCTTGTGCAACCATAATGCTGGAGGTTTCAAGAGCTTCAGAAAATTCTCTAAGTCTCTCTTCTCCTTGGAATCTCTATAGGCCACCTGAAGCAGCAGTTCATATTCCTGGAATGGGCCTAAAGAGAGAAAGATCATTAAAACCTTTCTGTCTCTGGGGGAACTACTGCTGAGGAAGTGAGTGGGAAGCAATCCTCAGGTTCAGCCTGGAGGTCAGGGATGTACGATACCTTGCTGCCTGTCACTGAGTCCTGTTCACCCAGATATTGACTGAAAATGAACATCCAGGGTAACTCAAGCAGACGGTTCCCACGTATCCTAACATTGTGTCCATCCTCACTTCTGCCAGACCAGCTGTTCTCTGCCGCACACCAGCACCACCCTCCCCAGGGCACATCCCGAGTCACGTTTCAGGAGTCAAGACTGCAGGGAGGGGAGGGGAGACAATCCTTGGCACTCTTCCTCCCCCTCCCCCAGCTCTGCCTCCTTGGAGGATCTTCTCCAACATTAAAACCCCCAATAAATTTTCCAAAGAGCCCTTCCTTCTCCTGTAAAAATGTCCCATGAATTAGCTGAGACTGAGTATGTAGATGAAATACAAAAGCCAAACAGAACTAAACCTTTATCTGGAGGCTTTGTGCACTCTAACCTTCAGCTTGTTATTTCTGGGCAGCACCTTTTCTCTCCTCAAGGAGAAGCCATTCACTGGTTTTGACTGGGAGAGAAGATGTGTCTTACGAGACGAGTCTTCTCCCACCCAAAATTCAGTTAGGTGCATTCATTCATGTGAAACTTGGCATGAAATTCCCAAGCGCTTCAATTTCCTCGAAGCTCACCTATGGACAGTCTATGGAGAGCCTCAGCCCCATCGCTTACTCTCCCCATCTCCTTATAGGCTGGGAACTTCTGCCCCAGGTCTCTGGAGTTGCCCCAAGTGGTGGGAGCTGGAGTGATTCTACTCCTACTGCCCAAGCTGGTGAGAAGGAGGGAGCAGGTAAAAGGGTGACCCTGGTCACATTGTCAAAGGATGACAGCACTGGTTCTGGAAACAGGTTGATAGGGTTTGAATCTTGGCTCCTGTCCCAAGCTCTGTGCCTTAGTTTCACTATCTGTAAAATAAGGATGATTTTTGTGCCTAATTCAGAGGGTCAGTATGTGGATTTAATTCATCTAATGCACTTAAAGTAGTGTCTGGCACATAGTGAAAGCCCAGTGAATGCTTGCTATATTTTTATTGTCATTTTTACTTTCAAGGAAAATATGTTCATGGCATTCCAAGTTGAAATTTTGATTTTTTTTCAGAAGTATTGCAGCCTTGCATGGTGGCAGGTGCTATGGTACTATTACTACATCATTGAATGGCAGTTTCATTGTATGATAAAAAAGCTTTTGTGGACTCACTCAGACACCTAAACACCATTTATGTGCATCGCTATTTCTATAAGAAAATACATTTGGCACTTGAAACATCAAACCCACAAATTACATTTCAGATCGCAACTCATTCCTAGACTGAAGGCCATGCCCATTAATTACATTCTTAGAACCAAGACATGGAAGAAAAGAAAGTATATGAAGCAGCCTCTTGTCAGGTATGGTGTGAGATACTATTATTTAATCCTTACAAATATCTCACTCTTAAGAATTACTATTATTTTCATTTTACAGATTTGGGATGTTTAATGATATGTTTAGGATCATATGACCAGTTAAAGGCATACTGGAGTTAGAATCCTGATCTCTTGGCACCAAATTCTACTCCATCATGCAATCCAACAGAGTCTCACCTGGATGCTTTTTTTTATTCACAGTGAGCTCTCTTTCTGTTCTGATGCCATCATTTCTCTGCCAAAAAGAAAAAAAACATAGTTATGATGAAGCTTTGGACAGTTGTACTTGATAAGACCCTTGTTGGATTTCTGAGAAAAAATTGAAGTCAGGGATATAAAATGCAAGCCACGGTGGTGGGGAGGTGGCCAGGAAAGGTCTGACTTAGACAACATTTGAGCAAAGCCCTGAAGGAGGTGGGGAAGTGATGATCCCTGGAGGAAGAGCTTTCCAGGAAGGAGAACAGCACGTGCAAAGGCCCTGGGGTAAGAATATGCCTGGCATGTGGAGGCAGAGCAAGGACACCAGAGTAGGTAAGAGGAGTCCGGGAGAGGAGAGATGCTGGAGTTGAGGTCAGAGAGGCTTCAGGGAGGCAGGTTGTGCAGACCTTCCCAGACCATGGAAAGGGTTTTACCTTTTACCTGAGCAAGATGAGAAACCACTGGAGAGTTTTGAACAGGAAAAAGATATTCTATGAGATACTTTCTAGAAAGCTCAATCCTGAAGCCTTGGTGAGAATAGACAAGCATAGTGGCAATGAGAGCATTTCAAGGGTTATTGAAATAACACAGGTGAGAGATGAGAAGGTATGGATCAAGGTAGCAGCCATGGGGGTAGTGAGAAGTGTTTGAATTCTAGATACATTTTAAAGATAAAGCATAATAATAATAATAATAATAATAATGCCAATGGGTTAGATGTGATTGTGAGAAGAGTCAAGCATGATACAAGTTCTTTGCCTCAGCAGCTGGAAAGATGGAGGTACCACTTGCTGAGATAGGAAAGGACGAGTAGATTTGGTGAGAAAAAAAATCAAGAGTTTATTTTTGTAATGAAATTCAGGGGCCTACTGGGTGCCCAGCTGCAGAAAGAATGTTGGTAGAGGATATATGGGTGTGAAGTTCAGGGGAGAGCTCTGAGATGGAGATAAGTTTTGAGGAGTCATCAGCATGTGGAGAACATTAAAACCATGATCCTGGATGGAAGTATCAAGAAAGTGAGTATGGACGGGGAAGAGAGGCCCAGAGATTGCTAATGTCGATCCATCTGCTTTTCTTGCACGCAAGAGGCCATAGCAGAGAATGTGTTGAGCTAAAAAAGATCTCTGAGACGGTTAAATCAAAGATCTTCATTTTGTAGTTCAGTCATCTAAGCTCCAAAGAGATGACATGACTAATCCAAGGCCATGGAGTGAATGTTAGTAATGCTGAGACAAGAACTCAAGACTTCTAATCCCAAATCCATTAGATTATGTAGTTGCAGTTTCCTGGAGGGTAACAGATTCTAAAGTTCCAGAAGAAGAGAGGAGAGATGGTTGAGAAGAAAAACAGGACATATGCCAACTCACCTCCAAGAAACCATGATGGCCCTCAGTGACAGTGAAGAAAGTGACAAGCCACAGCACTCCGACCCTCATCTTTGGCAGCCCCTCTCCTCTGTCCTGGAGTGAACATAAACAGCCAGGTGCACAGTCTGTGACTAGACAAGCAGCATACCACGGAGGGCTCAGCCATCATGAAAACAAGTCGTTCGAGCCTGGTTTTAGAACTGAACACAGTGGTAGGCCTGCCTGAGCTGATCTGAACCCCTGAGGGCTTTATTATTCTTCCACTTCAGGTGGCCTGGGACATTACCGTTCCTGCTCCCATCGCAGAAGCAGCAAATTTCTGTCTTTACAAACTTACTAGCAAATTGCTGTAGAACTCTCTTCTAGGTGATCACATTTGACTAAACATGGGCTTTTTTAAAATCACCATTTGCTTGATGTTATAACTAGGTGTGTTTAACATTTTATATTTCGTGGAGGTTTCTTTTTCACCTCAGGAAAGATAAGCATTAAAATAAACAAGGATCGTTTGGTTAGAGCACAGCCTTATAACACCAAGGTCACGGGTTCGGATCCCCGTACTGGCCAACGACCAAAACAAAACAAAATAAATAAGGACCCTTACAATCATTAATGCAAGTATGAAATTTGAGTCTTTAAGCATAGAAATAATAATGAACCAATCCAGCAAATTTTCTTCTTTACAGTTCATATAAGTAGCCACAAACTGCCCTTAAGTTTATGGTTATCACAAATAATTTGGACAAAACTCAGCACATAGATATGGCCACAAGATTAACCATTTATACCCAGGTGATTTGGTGTCAAAGAAAAATCATGGTAAGTTAGAACTGTTCTTTGCAATACAGTAGCCACTAATGATGTGCAGTTATCTAAATTTAATTTTAATTAAAATAAAATTAAGTGAAAATTTGTGTTTCCCAGTCAACATAGCCACATTTCTGATGCCCAATAACCACATGCAGCTAGTGGCTACCATCTTAAGTAGCATGACATGGAACACATCATTGCTACAAGTTTTATTGCATGGCACTGACAGAATTTGAAGGAATACTTTCCTATGACCTCTCAATGTTTCTTTTACATTTCCACAGGAAAAGATAAAAAAATTATAATTCCAGTCTCAGTAATCCACCATCGGGATCAGTATCCATGACCAGCAGTAGGGACAACACAGAGCTGAGCTCTCCCTTCCAGCCCTTGCCCTGCTTTCTAGGTGCGCTTTAACCTTTGAACACCCACTGCCATCCTGCCAGCGCTGCCCAATGCTCTGCTTCCTGATCCAAAGAGAAGAGGAAAGGCATTAGGGACAGGGCAAGGGCTACCATAGATGTGGCCTGTTTTTCAGCAGGGACCTTTTCTAGGGCTTTCTAGGGAAGCATGAAAAACAGGCAATGTGACACATACAACTTTTTTTTCTTTCCTTTTTGTCTTTTTTCGTGACCGGCAACGGATTGCAACCCTCAGTGTTGCGCCCATACTGGACCGGGACCGGCAACGGGATCGCAACCCTCGGTGTTGCTCCCGCACCGCGCTCAGCCAGTGAGCGGCCGGTCTGTATGTGGGATCCAAACCCGGCGCACTGTAGCAGTGCGCCACCGGGCCAGCCCGACACATACAACTTTTGTATTCACCTTCTCCTCCTGGGCAAATGGTCCTCTCGTCCCACCTCCCTGTTTGCCAACAACTTCTCCTAAATCTATTGCTTTAAGCTTCTTCAGACAGCACCCTGTACTCCAGATCATTCTTCCAGGTCTTGCTTCCCAAAGCTTATCTGTTTGAGTCCTATTCCCTCTGGCCTGTGCTTTCTGCTTTTCAAAAGTAATGAATATTTATTTCTAGAGCAGTGTTTTTCAAACATTTTTGATGGGGTCCCAAAGAAAAAAATGTGTTATAGGGTACTTCAAAATGTTCATGGAGAAATAGAAACAAAAGATAATCTGAATCTTTCCATGAACTTTTTGAAGACCCCTCGTGTGTAAATATACATACACACACACATTCATATATACATAAAAGTTTTTAAAATTAAGAACTGTTTTATGAAACAGAACTTGATTCTTTCCTGAATGTACCCTTGGATATTTTCTACTTGTTTTTGTTTTATTCCTTTTTTATTGGTAAATTGTCATGTCCTACTAAATTGATTTTACAATACCCTCATGAAGTGCAGCCACATTGCAGAGGGAGCTTGTGCTGTTTCCAGCCCCTTTCCCACTTTTTCTCCACTTCCAGGAAAGATTTTTAAAATTTTGAATCACCGGATACTGGTTTGTAGTGCTGGAGCTTTCAAATAGGGTAACAGTCTTGGTACATGTGGGTGTCATCTGCTCTGTCTGTGCCAGGGCCTGCTTCCACATGGGAGGCCTGGCTCTCAGATGGCACTCTGTCTCTCTCTCTGAAAAATCTTTCTCCCACACATACACCAGGCCTGAGGTTGCAAATCCAGCTCAGGAAGGCCTGGTGACAGCTCTGCGCATCGTGGGGAAGCCCTCTCTCAAACTCTCAGCCTCCTTCTTCACTCTTCCACACTAGAGGTGGATTCTGGGCTGCCTCCTGGGACTTGCTAGAAATGGGAAACTGTAACTTACAGTCATTGTAGGCCAATGGTGAATAGATGAACTATAAAGAAAGTATGTGTGCTGGGGGGAGGGGAGCATGGGAGGAAGAAATCTAGGAGGAGAAGGAAGAGGAGGAGGAAAGAAAGCATTTGGCAGCTCATTAGAAAACACAGGTGTCCCCATCTTATTTACCCTAAACCTACTAAGGATATTGGACAGGTATTAGTAAAGCTACATAAGCAATGCTCATGGCCAGGCAGGTTTGAAAGCTATTATTCTAGACTGTTTCTAGGATAGAAAAAAAGATTTCTGCACCTAGCCTAGTCCTCTAATAGGAGTTATACTTTGAGGTTTGGGACCAAAGCTCAAACTAATCAGACTTTTTTCTTTGTTTCCTTGGTGCATATAGTTCCCTCTGCGATACAGTTGGAAGATTTGGCAAATAAAAACACAAGAAATGCAGACAAATTTGAATTCAAATAAACAACAAATAATTTTTTAGTATAAGTATGCCCTATGCAATACTTGGGGCATTATTTGTTATCTGAAATTAGTTGTTTTCTGAAATTCAAATGTAACTGGAAATCTTGGTTTGACAACAACTAAAAGGTAGGAAAATGGTGTCTCAGGGCACATGGGTCAAAACAGGCTCTGCAGGGCACACCTGAGGTCCTCAGGCAGGAGCTGAGGGGCAGACCGCTCCACCCGGAAACAGGCAAGAAACAGAGCAGGCCCAGGGTCCTCAAGCATGAACTGAGGACAGTAACCCCCGCAGGGAAACAGGCAAGGAGCATGCTGAAGCACCATTTCCTCAGGGGTGGCCTGCCACAGCCACGGGTGCCACAAAAGCAGCTTGGCACCACTGCAGTAGCCACAGCTACCATGCAGCAGGCCAGCCAGACACCCAACTGCAGTGACACAAGGAGAGTCACCAGCAGAGACCAGAAAAAGAAGAGGACATCTCTTTCCTCAAAGCCCACTCCAGTGTAATAGAAGAAGCAACTGCTCTACCACGCCCCTGCTGTATTTCTGATTTTAGTAATTTCTGTCTTCTCACTTTTTTTCTTGGTCAGTCTAGAAAAAGGTTTGTAAATATTGTTGAT